GATAAAATGATTCTTAAAGTTTAACTGTCATTAAGAAACTGCAAATTGAGAGTAGTGTTTGTATGTACATATGAATTAGTGCTCCCTTAGGTTAGCCTGAAGTAACTCAACATTATGTCTAAAGTAAAATTTGAAGAGGCACATTTAGAAGATAGTGTGATCGGCCATCTGTTTTCCTGGATTTATTGGTCTGCTGCTTGATAAGATTTTATATTTTTCAAGGCAGACTTTCTAATTAAATTGATGTCTGTTACCATATTGCTGTGTTCTTCTACAAAGTATCAACTTTCTGGCTGCTTGTTATCCCTAATTTCAGGTTTTCATTGTGATTTTAAAAGTCTATAAAACAAGTTCATAGTCAATTTGGTGAATTCACCTTTACAGATTAAATATCTCTTTTTCAGGTAACTCCTTGGAGTATCACTCCCAGTAGATTTTGAGCCACTAAGAAAATTCAGACAAATTTGTTGTCCACAAAAGAAAATAAAAAGCTTTTTGTCTTTGCTTTTCTATGAAAAGAGATGACATATTTCTTTCATTGATGCTTTATCTTGCCTAAGCAAATCACATCTATATGTGGTTTACTATAATTCAATCTATATATAAAAGCAGTAGGATGAAAACTCAATATATCTTTAAGTAATTGAGATAAAATTTAATGAACATGGTTCGTTTTTCTCTGTGTAATTAATAAAAACAGAGGACGTTCTTAGGCTCAGAAATAGTTATTAGAGAGCGAAAGAAAATATAGAATTAAGACAAAAGGGACAGCAAGAGGGAAAGATAAGGCAGTATTTTTAGCAAATAATGTGTTACTAAGTAACTTACTAAACAAAAGGTAAATGAATTGAGGTGCAGAAATAGTGTAATGTAAAAGCTGAAATTTTAGGTTTTAAGAGGTAATTTTTGATAGTACTCAGTATGACTCATTATTGCAGAAAATTACTGAAAATAATCATAGCTAAGTGATGTGCACAGGAATGCTCTGATTCCACTTATAAACAAGGTATTTAGGAACATTGGAGAAAGTTCAGAAGATGACCACCATGAAGAATTTTGGCATGGTTGGTAGGAGGGGTGGGTAGGGACTAGAAACCATAAGAGATGATTCAAAGCATAAGGTATCTATTCGGGGGGTAAAGGGGGGAAGGCATTAGAGATCATTCCATAATAAGTATATAAAAATAGAGGAGGTTGCCACAAGAGGTCGATGTATCTTCTGAGTAAAGTAGAGATCCTTTTTTTGGCAAGGGCATAGATTGAATCACTGCATATGATCTCCTCTCAGCTGAAAAACATATGAAAAGTTTGCCTGACTTAGTATTAACCTGGATAGCAGTATGTGTAAAACCACACACCTGGATACATTTCACAATGTTTTCTTTCTTAGACCATCAACAAAGTGCTGCTCCAGTATGCTGCAATTGTATCAAGTGATTTCAGTTCGTATTGTGATAAGGAAAATGTGGTAAGTAAAAATGTCTCTGCTTTCAAGTATCCATCAGTTGAGATTTACTTCTTCAAACGGTGAAAAGGCAAGAGAAATTATTTACTTTCTGTTTTCATACAGGATGATAAAAAAATAGGGACCTCAAGAAATTGTTTGAAAACTTCCCTAGTAGTCTTGAGTTGGTTTTAATTCACAGGAAGGTTGAGTGTCTTGACACAGCCCACTTGTGGTTTTCCATATTGTTAAGGAAGAAGACTAGCATAAATAATTGAAAACTCACATTCATACAATATTGGAGATGAAAATTGGGTAGTTAAAAACTAGATAAGTATTGGCACCACCTAGTTTCATTTTGAAACCAATACTAAAATTAATATAATTTA